TGAAAACTCAATTTAGATAGAATTTGATCATTCTAACGGTTAGGTTTCCAGTGTTTTTTACCGTAGGAATATACGTTGAATATACAATTTTCGTTGAAAATTTTAGTTTCACCCATATCTCAACCGTTGAAAAATGTATTGCTGGAATTGTCAAAACCCAATGAAAAATTTTAATGTAAAACTCATTCCAACTGAATATTTTTGTTAGAATTTCCGTTGGAATCTATTGGAAAATTCCAACGAAAATAATAACATTGCAATATCTATTGAATTGTTGTTGGAATTCCACTATCCACAAGGAAAAATGACAATTATTTCATACTTCCTCAAAAGTGGTTGTCGTTGATCTTTTACAAAATCATATGATTATTTACTAATATTAGTACGTAGCTTGTGCGATGCACGAGACAATAATGATAAGTTGTATAAATTAAAATAATGAAGGAATATTGATGATTATAAAAATAGGTTTGGAATACTAATACTAATTTTATCTTTTATTTTATATTTATGATGTACAATTGTTAAATATGCGATTTATATATTTATTTCACCCGTTATAAAACAACTTTCGTTTTAGAGTTAATATTTCGAATTAAGGAACATATTCAAACATTATTAATAAATAATACTCAAAAAAATATTTCTCTGTTTTTCTTACTTATAACGTATTACAATATATTATTTTGATTCCTAAATAAATGAGATAAAGTTAAAAAAATTGTGGCAAAGATTATAAATAAAAAATTAATTTTAAAGTAATGTAGTGTATACTATTTGAAATTATAATTATTAATTTTCAATTACGTCAAAATTATATAAATATTTTTGTAATTTAATAAATTATGTATAACTATTTTGAATATTTTTTTTGCTAATCTAATAAATCATACGACAGTTCAGCACCAGTTGATTTACCATTACAGTTTATAACACTAAATGTTATAAATATTATGATTCTTTTTCTTGCTAACAATTTACATCGTTCATCGATGGATGACTTATTGGTTTATAAATTTTATAGTTTATGACATTATATATTAAAATATTTAAATTTTTTTCTATACTTATAATTTAAATGACAATTTGATAGATGACTCATGATTTTTATAATTATAACAATGCATGTTATAAATATTTAATTTTTCATAATATAATAATTTACAAGACAGTTCGATAAATGACACATTGGTTTTTCATTGTAATATTGTATATACTTGATCCTTGAATAATTTTTACTTATATTTTTCTATTGTTTTTAGTATTAATTATTTAAATCCATGAATGATAAACATGCTAATTACTATTTTAAATTATTTTACACTAAATATATTATTATACATACATTTATATTTCATTGCATGAATAACTTGAGTCTAGTTTATTATCTTTAAATCCATATTTTTTACAAATAAGTTCATTTTGTATATATGTTAATTTATAAACTTATTGATACTTTAAAAATAATGGGTGCCAAATCCAAGATCCTAAAATGAAAGTTACTTTAATATGATACATAATAAATTGATAACTAGTGAACATATTATTAAGATTTTAAGAAGAAATAATATTATTGCTTAATAAGAAAAATAGATATGTAAAAAAGTAGACAAACATATGGAAATTAAATAGGAAAAAAAATCACAATTAGGAAATTTTATCATCTATGCGTTTTAGATTTCATATATTTTTTTTAATTTACATATAATTATTCTTGGAGTGATTAATCTATGGCAATATAATTTATATTTTTTTAAATAAAATAAAATTCTAGAGTAGGTGGAAATCGAATAATAAAAATAGATTAGATATAAATAAACTAATCTATTACTATATAATAACTAGTGCGTGGTCCATACGATGCACGGGAAAATAATATTACGTTTGTGTTATAAATTAAATATATAAATAACATTAATCAAGATCCATCATTTTTAAATTAAACCGTGTTTGGTCATAGTGCGACCGAATGGACCGAGAAACGGCCACTCTAGTTCGCTTGAATAAAATATTCGCTATCGAACCTGTCAACACCAGTCAGTTGAACTGGTAGGATCGATATGATTTTCTAAATAAATTTTGCTACATTTAAAATCATTTTAAATAAAATTACATATTTAAATAAAATAGAGATTTATAAATTGTATATCAATTAGTTTAAACATTTGAAATTTTAAATTGTTTAGATATTTAGGTAGCACATTTTATTTGAATTTATTACAAAAATTACTGTATATATATTAAAATATTTATAAATTAAAAATCTGAACAAACCACAAATTATTTAATAATAACTTGATCGTTTCGATGATGGTCCAGTTCTGAAAACCTTATATTTTCTGTACATTAATAAAAATTATAATAAAATATTATTTTATTCATATAAATATTAATAAAATGATATAAATACAATCATAGGGAAAGATCTATTTAAAAATAAAACTAACACGAATTTACTTAATAAATAGTAAAAAAATAAAATTCAATTATTGAAAAGATTACACGATTTTTCAATTGATTTATAAAAGGAATCAAAATAAAATAAATGGTGAACATATTTTGGAATGAATTTGAATGGTGTAACTCATTCAAATCTCAAATTTTAAAACCAATATGACACGTTTTTTTGTAACATATTCCTATATAATTTGGATAAGACTTCAAACTAATTCCTAAATAATTCTTTTTTAAATAAATTCTTAAAATAGTATGTAATAAATGCTTTCCTAAATTTTGGATTACTATTTTTAGTAAATAGTAATTCTTTTTATATATATATATATATATATATATATATATATATATATATATTCTGGATGTATCAGTTTTTCCATAGATCAATATCTAACCAAATTTTCAAAAGTGAATAAAAATCGGATTGTATCAATTTTTTCCTAAAATTATGGATGCTCATTAATTTCTTATCCCAAATTGTCATAACATTCTAAATTTAGCATGTAATTAATGAAATTGACGAGAAAAAGTTTGTAAAAGTGAATTATGTTAATCTTTATTATATATTAATAGATAAGAAAAAATCTAAAAAAATATGAAGATTCCCGCCTAAATTTTTGGTTTTTACTATTATTGGTAATTTTTTTTTTCAAACATTTTGATTTATCCCACCTAAAGCACATTGAATTTGATTTGAAATTAAAAATTAAAATCATTTACAAAATTTACTAATATTTCTCATACATTTGATATGATTTTTCTTTCACCATCATTTCGTGATTATTTTGGTATTATCCTTTTTAATTCATTAAACACATAAATTTTATTTTATTTGCAGAATAAAATTGTAATTTATATCATGTTCCATATATAGCTAATTATAAATCCCCCATAAGAAATTCTGACATTAATAAATTGGCAAATCAGGTTTGCTTATAAATCCATAAATATCCTATAACTAAAATTGTCCTCATTAAAATTCTCAAAAATTCGTGAGGTAATCCTACATTTTATTTTTTTTACGAAAGATAGAGATTTTATATAACAAAAATGCACAAAAATGCAAAGATACAACTCCTAACTTAATTACATTACCAACAACTGAATAAACTGGGAGGACAAGCCATAAGACCGCCTAAAGCCGACACTAGCAACGCTAGAAACCAAAAAAACGACTCACGAAAAGACAAACACAACAAACACCGGAACAGAAAGGCTTTCCACGAGAGAATTGATTTAATTTCTATTATTATTATTATTATTATTATTATTATTATTATTATTATTATTATTATTATTATGTTTGGGACTAAAGGCTATGTTGTTGTTGTTATTATTATTAATATTATTATTATTATTATCATTGAGATGTAAACATGTATACATGAACTATCATTTGCATTTTTTTTTTTTACCATAATAAGATGCTTAAATATAAACAATATATTTGAAATAAAGTTTTAAGAAAATGTTTTAAGGAAAAATCTTGTCCGTGCATCGCGCGGGATGCTCACTAGTTGGTTGGAAATTTTTGGAAAATTATTCAATAGCTTTAGTTCAATATCACATTATCTAGAGTAAAATAAAAGTCTCACCGCGGATGGGAAAGTAAAAATTACCAAAAGAAAATTAAATAAAAAAAAAACAAAGAAGAATGATTAAAAAAATTCTTATTTAGTAAGTAAAATTTTTTTAATGGGAAAATAGTGCTATCCTCCATATATATAATTTCCAAATGTGCTGAGCCTAAGAGGCAGACTCGCATGGTTCGGGATCCTATGTGTCAAAATTCAATACTTCACCGTTTGACTTGGATAGATTTTAATTTAATTCCAATTCAAAAATAATTAAGTCTAGATTACCATAAATATGTTGATTATTTATGATTATTTTAGATGTAATAATTGTATTTTAATATCATATCCTATTATAAACCATTGATTTACAAATGTATTTTAAAAGTTGATAACTTTTAAATTTTTTATCAGTTTTAAATATTTAATATATCAAATTAATTAACTTTTAATGAGCTTCGATTTGACATTCATATTGTATGTATAAAGTAAATAAATTATATTTATCTATATCATAATAATAATAATAATAAAATATTTATTAATATCAATTAGAAAATAAAATTATATCTCAATTAGTGTATTTATGTTTTACGTAGTTATATGTTATAAATTAAAAAAATTATGATAATATAACACAGATAAGTCGCACAAATAGCAAATGTCTTTCGAAAATATATAATAATATATATATTTTTCTTATAAAAATTGATTAAATTTTAAATAACTTTTTCTCATTATTTAAAAAAAATTAACAAGCACCCGTGTAATACACGTGTGTGTTTGTACTAGTTTTCACTAAAGCCAAATTGTTTTATCACTTCTTCTCTTCCATTTACTAATACCTGGCTCTGACTTTAATAATTATCTTTCCGACACGAATATGCTAGCTTGTTTGTTCTCTCTATGCGAATGTGCACACAATTACAAACACATGAAAACTTAGAAATGGCTTCAAACATTTGCTAACAGGGTGATTGACAAGACAATAGAACGATATCAAACAGCTTTGAAGACCCCAACAATTGGCCCAGCCAAAGGCTTAGATGCAAATATGCAGGTGTATATTGTGACCCTTTCTTATCATATATTCCAACCATAATATACCCTTAAGTCTTTCCTCATATTTTTGTTTTCGCCTCGCGAACATGCGACATGTAAACCGACGAGTGTTAATATTAGCCACACTGCAGACTGATATTACATATTCTTGATTTGTGCAATAAATTTGGATGGAGGCAGAATTTGAAAGATGAGACAGCTGATCTACGCAAAAAGATTGAGCTCCTTGAAGTGTCCGAAAGGTTGTAATCCTTGCCTATCCATTTTATTCTGACAAGAAAGAGAAAAAAAAAAAACCTTTAATATATTACATAAATGTGATATCTAAGACTAACAGATGTGTCTTTTCTTGTTTTTGCAGAATGCTCATGGGAGAGAGTTTAGATTCTTGTTCGAAAGAGGAACTACAACAGCTCGAACAACAATTGGAACAAAGTTTGAAAAACATCAGGGCAAGAAAGGTATATCAGCATAAATATACATTTCGTTCTTGCAATTAGTTTAATCTATAGCCAGAAATAATCAATTGTACATATTGGAATCTCTTGCAGATCAAACTGTTCGAAGAGCAGATTGATCACCTGAAGCAACAGGTGAATCTTCTATTAATGTTGATGATTAAGAATTGTGAATCAGGACAGTTATTAATGTTTATTTTCGTGCATGTTGAGGTTTGGCGTCGAAATTGTGTATGTTGATGCTTAACCTATTCGTTTAATGGTGTAGGAAGAGCACCTGATGAAAGAAAATGCAGAACTAAAGAAAAGGGTGGACAGTGAACAACACAGTATCAATTTTATTAATTTTGTTTAAAAAAAAAAATCTACTTGTGCACCGAGTATGTGATCAGTATTGCAATCGTTACTAAGAGTACGTTCGTCATATGGAAACAAGTTAATGAATTATTCTCATTTGGGAAAGAAAAATATACCTTTGAGGTGGTACATTTTCTGGAAAGTTATAGAGATTGGGATGGTGAAACATACCGAATTCTTCTTCTTCCAGTTCGTCTTTAACAGGTGTTCGTTTATCATCCAAATTACCAACGGAAAAAAAGGCTCGTTTATCATCATCTATGCACAATATTGACACCAAATAGATGTGGGCATACATATTTCATGGTGGTTCATATATAAATATATATATATATATATATATAGGATGCGGTTCAAATGAGAACCAAGAACTAGCATGAGAACCGTGAGAACCGCTATTTATATATATCCAAATATATATATATATATATATATATATATATATATTTGGAAATTTTATTCCTTATGGCATGTAGCTTGTTAACTTTTTCATTTATCACATGTTTTGGTATAGAGTTCATTATCATACTTTTTCCAGTTAGTCCAATGTTGAAAATATCAAGAAGTCATAAACATAACTTCAGAAGCCCACACAAGAACTGAGAAAAACAAGTAATTAACTCTGCATATGTAGTCTTTACCAAATTCAGATCTCAATCTCAAGTGTGACATGTAAAATCAATGTCACTTCCTTTCCCCATCTGTATAAACAGGGCAAAATAGAAAAATACAAAAAAAAAGGGTTAAAAATCGAGCTCCACGCAATCAATGGAAGTTAACATTGGAGCTATAGGTCATGCCGGCACGCCAACTGGCGGGAGCAACGTTGTAAGCAATGATAGTCTCGTGGGACGTGTAAGAGGTGATCTTGAAAGAGAGCGGTTGGCCGGTAAGGGTAGCAAAAGCCTGGTAAGAAGCCCCCCAATTGTGGCTCATGCTTATCCAGCCCGTCTTGCTTCCCTTCACCCACACGCTTGCTATGTCCCCACCACCCGCCACATTCATCACGTACACGAGCAGCCAATATCCATTTCCCTGGAACATGAACCGAAGCCCGCCCTTTCTGATGCATGGCACTCTGTAATACATTAACGAAAAAATAAAATAAAATCAGGCGTTACAAGATTTTTATCGATTAATACGTGGTCCCTAAGAGAACTACATATACTCATGATTACTATCTGGGTGAAGATGTTTTCTTAGACTTGTTGGTGTAACGTTATAGCAATTTTAGTCTCAAGATTCTATATTTTCGCCATTTGGTCATGTTGTTTAATATTTTGCTGTAGTTGTAGAAAACTGAAATCGCAACAAAATTTTAAATTATAGGACTGGAATTGCAATAAAATTTTATATATCATTTGGGAATTCATTGCAATTTTAGTCCTCAAAGGATTGAAATTGCATCAGAATATTAAATCACTGGACCAAAAAGCGAAATGTTGGAACTTTGCAACTAAAATTGTTGTGGCGCTAAACCAACATGACTATTTGTTTCGACTAACAGTAATGTACCTGCGGAACATGATGGGTACAATGCCACCCTTCCACTGAGCAATCTTCATGAAGGCGGGTTTAGCCATGTCAAAGTGGGTGCGCGGAGGATTGCACCACCCACCGTGGTTCGAGTCCTGTGACCAGTTTGGAGGGCAGAGATTGGTGGCCGTGACTGTGGTGATGGGTGACCCTCTGTAGCACCACTGTGAGTTGACGCACCTCAGCTGGAAGCACTGCCCACACCCATATCCGTTGTTGAATAAAACCGAGCTCAAGGCGGCCGTGTCAGTCCCGTAACCGCTGCTGAACAAATTCCCATACCCACAGGCTCCCCCTGTTGATGCATTTTTGTTAAGAGTTAAGTTCTAGCAAATTTGTGATCTAGAAAATGAAAACATTGACTTCATTAATTAATACAGTGCAGCAATGCATAAAAAATGGTAGCAAATTGGCGGCTATATATGCCTATTTGCCTAAAAATATGGAATAAATTTGTGGCTAAATTGCAAATTTAATCCTATAAAATTCTGAAGTTATGTATATGAGATGGATTTTGATTAGCAATTTAAGTCATGCAATTTAAAATTTTGTTGCAATTCAGTCATTTTGACCGTCAAAATTAACGGTTAAAGGACTGTAATTGCAGCAACATGACTTAAATTGCTGTACATCACCACATCGAGACCAAAAATTTGCATTTTAGCCTAAATTTGTATATGCTGATCATTTCAAACAAAAAACGTACCCATAGTTTCAGAAGCAGTTTCGTCGCCGTAAAATGTGGCATAGGCAAGTTTCCACGGGGTGGGTCGAAAGACGTGTCTCACGTAGTATCCAGATGCCGTAGCCTTGCTAACGAGCGCCGTCACCAAGAAGAGGCATAGGCGCCAATGTGAGAAGAACAAAGAAGCCATATGTTTTCTATCTTGGCCTTAGCAAAGCTTTTGATTGTTTAGTTTAGTTGTTGAGGGCAATTTGATTAGGAAATGTTATGTTAATATAGGTTTAACAGTGCTACTACCGTGTGCCTTGGCACACCTAGCAAGGTGTGCCAAGGCAGTTTAAAATGAACATGTTTCATTACAAAATGAACATGTGTAAATATGTTTACACATTGACAGAATATATAAGTTTCAGTTTATGTATATAAATTGTATTTTTGGTTTAGCACTTTTAGTACACTTTGTACTTAGCCTTATGAGTCATTTGACAACTTTAGTCATTTTTGTAATAGTATAAATACCAACATTGTAAACCCTAACAGACTATCAATTCATTATTCAATATCACACTTTTCTTTTCATCGCCTCTCTCGTCTTTCTCTCTGCTCTCTCTCTTAATCTCGATCTTGATCTTCATATTCTATCATGGTATCAATCGCTGGGTTCTGATTGATCTATTTTTCCGCTGCATTTACTCTTTGATCTGTATTCTCCGATCTGTACTCTCCATTAATTTCTATGGCTTCGACATCGATTGCAAATCCTTCTGACGACCCGACCTCGCCGTTCTATCTTCACGCCGGCGACAATCCTGGAGCGCTCATCGTTGCCGAGACGTTCAATGGAGACAACTATGTGTCCTGGTCACGGGCGATTTCCATGGCTCTCAGCGTCAAAAACAAACTAGGGTTTGTCGACGGTACAATTTCTGCTCCTAACCCTAATCAAAACCCTAATGCCTCTCTTGCTTGGGTTCGAGCGAATAATCTGGTGTTGTCGTGGTTGTTAAATGCTGTTCATAAAGATATTCGTCAATCGTTGCTCTTTTTCTCTGTGGCTCAAGATGTATGGGATGAACTTAAAACTCGATATGCTCTGTCTAGTGGCCCTCGTGTGTTTCAACTTGAGAAATCTCTGAACACTATTGATCAGGGTAGTTTATCTGTTACACAGTACTATAATCTGTTCAAATCGCTTTGGGATGAATATATCACATATCGCCCTGTGTTTAAATGTGTTTGTGGTGCTTTTGCAAACTGTTCCTGTAATATTTTTGAAGCCATGACCAATGCTCAGCACCATGACTCAGTTATGAAATTCTTAATTGGCCTCAATGATACCTATTCATCCCTCCGTAGTCATTTCCTTCTCTCTACTCCCCTTCCATCCTTATCCACTGTTTACTCTCTCCTTCTTCAAGAAGAGAGCCAAAGAACTTTGTCTAACACCTCCAAATCCATTGAATCTCTTGCAATGGCTGCTAAAACCACTTATCCTCAAACCAATAAAACCTTTAAGCCTTCTTTCAATAAAGACAAAAAGAAGATTAAATGTACTCACTGTGGATATTTAGGCCATTCTTCTGACAGATGCTATCAGTTAATTGGTTACCCTGCAAATTGGATTGGCCCTAAAGGCCCTAGACAGAATACCTCTCACTCTGCCCATGCTATTATCACTGATTTTAATGCTCAAAATGGGTCTACTAATTCTGTGGATGCACCTTCCATGACTGACAGTTTGTTTAGTGATTTTTTAGCCTTTAAGAAATCACAGGAGATGAAACACTCTGCTTCATCTACACCTGTGGTTGCTACTGCCTTGGCTAACACTTCAGGTATTTCTAATCCCCTAGCCTGTATTGCATCTGCTTCCCTAAATAAAAACACATGGATTCTTGATACTGGTGCTACAGATCACATGCTGTGTTCTAATGCTTACTATTCTTTACCTGCTACTTCTATATCTGTACAAGTTAACTTACCCAATGGAAATCATACTGTTGCATCTGAAGTGGGTCTTGTTAAACTTACAGATTCTCTATGTTTACATGATGCTCTCTATGTTCCTTCATTTCATTTCAACCTTATATCAGTCTCTAAACTTGCTGCTACAAATAATTGTGTGGTAAAATTTCTGGCATCCTCTTGCATATTACAGGATCTCACAAACCACAAAATGATTGGTTTTGCTGACTTGGTTGATGGACTATACCTTCTCAAACTTCCTGCATCTGTTAACATAGACTCACCCCCTGATAATTGTGCATTTCCATCACCTGTATCTGTTTCACATGTATCCCCTAATGATGAAAATCTTCCTTTACATGTAAATGCATCTACTACAGATACTGTTATATGGCACAATAGGTTGGGACATCTATCTCTCTCTAAACTGAACTGTTTACCTATATCTCATAATAATGATGTTTCTTCTGTTAAACCTTGTGATGTATGCCACTTCTCTAGACAAAAGAGACTTCCATTTTCTGTTAGTGAATCCATATCTGATGCTGCATTTGATCTTATACATTGTGACATTTGGGGTCCTTTCTCTGTTCCCTCATATGCATCTCATAGATATTTTCTCACAATTGTAGATGACTTCAGCAGAGTCACATGGCTTTACCCCTTAATTCACAAATCTGAAACAAAGGAGTGTTTGCTTCATTTTTATAACTTAGTGCTTACTCAATTTGATAGAAAGATTAAAGCAATTAGAACTGACAATGGCACAGAATTCATTCTATCTCATTTCTATTCTCAATATGGCATCATACATCAAAAGTCATGTGTAGAAACACCTCAGCAAAATGCTAGAGTGGAAAGGAAACATCAGCATATACTACAAGTAGCTAGAGCACTCCTGTTTCATGCTCATCTTCCTTTAAAATTCTGGATTGATTGTGTTCTCACAGCTGTTCATCTGATCAATAGGATTCCTTCTACTGTTTTAAATAACAGATCTCCCTTTGAAATTCTTTACAAAAAGGAACCTACATATGATCATTTAAGAGTGCTTGGTTGCTTGTGTTATGCATCTACTTTGTCTTGTCATAGAAACAAATTTGATTCTAAAGCATCCAAGTGCATACTTCTTGGCTATCCCATGGGTTGTAAAGGCTATAAGCTTTACAACTTGGATACCAAGAAAATATTAATTTCCAGAGATGTTGTTTTTTATGAAAGTGTCTTCCCTTTTAAAAACCCTATATCTCCTGAATCTTGTTCACCTCCTTCACCTAATTCAAACACTTCTGATAAGCATCTTTTTCCCATATACAACCCAGATGTCTTTATCCATAACATCCCAACTACTACAAACACCACTCCTCATATTACTCAACCTTCAAACAATACCCCTATTCCTCAGTCTTCAAACAATACTCCTATTCCTCAGTCTTCAAACAATACTCCTATTCCTCAGTCTTCACACAGTACTCCTCATCCTTCAAACAATACTCCTCATCCTTCAAACAACACTCCACCAAGAAGATCTACCAGAATTTCAAAAAGGCCAGCTTACCTAGATATATATCAACACTCATTGCCCAATACCCACTCATCCAATGCTGCCACAACAACACTTTCTTCTCATCCTGGAACATCTCTCTACCCTATTTCTAAGTTCTTATCTACAGAACAATTATCTATTGATCATTGCATCTTTACTGCATCCATTACTGCATTAACTGAACCTAAAACCTATTCTCAAGCAGCCAAAGATCCTCTTTGGCAAGAAGCTATGTCTAAGGAGTTGACTGCTCTTGAGCAGACCAACACTTGGCACCTAACTGAACTGCCAATTGGGAAAAATTGTATTGGCTGTAAATGGGTTTTCAAGATTAAGTATAAATCTGATGGTTCAGTAGAGAGGTATAAAGCTAGATTAGTAGCTAAAGGGTACACACAAGAAGAAGGTATTGATTATTTTGATACTTTCTCCCCTGTTGCTAAAATCACCACTGTGAGACTTCTTGTTGCATTGGCATCCATAAATAATTGGTTCATTCATCAACTAGATGTAAACAATGCATTCCTGCATGGTGATTTACCTGAAGAAGTGTACATGAAACCACCTCCTGGTTATTGTGCCCCTCAAGACACAAGAGTTTGTAAACTCAATAAGAGCCTGTATGGCTTAAAACAGGCTAGTAGGCAATGGTTTCAAAAACTTACATCTTGTCTTTTAGCATATGGTTTCACTCAATCTTGTGCAGACAACTCCATGTTTTATATGTCTAAGTCCAATTCCTTTACTGTTTTACTTGTTTAT